ACGTCGAGAAAACATAAAATTAGCGATTCGGATTTTTTGATGAAAACAATCTTCTCCTTCGGGAAGTTAATAACTGCTTTTGAAATGAGTAATTCTACTTAAAATTACCGTAACACCTGTTACATGTTTTCCTGGTCGGCAGTGGCGCCTCTCCATGTGCAAATTCGTCGTGGTCGCTCCAATGTCGATATCAACTTCTCCATTACTGTTATTTCTTGGTCTAACTTTGTGGCATTCTATCTTCTCCTGCTCCAGTGAGATTACTTTAGTCAAGTAATGTCCCATACTGATATAGTGACTGCTGCTCTGTTGACGAACTTCTTCTACTCCATTGATGTCCACCCTGCCTTGATCTGACCTTATTCTGTAAAGTTCGCTCTAATGCCTAAACTCTTAGTACGACCTCTGAGTTACTTTGAGAGATTGAAGTAACTGGAGCAAAAATGAATCAAAATCTGAGGACTTTTGCGAGATGCAATTGTGTACTTGACAGAAAACATAATATTGAAACATACCTGGTTTTGAAAATAAATATGTACATAATTATCAAAAACAACGAAAAATAATTCTGTGTATTAAATAAAATCTATATTAGGACCTTAGCACTTCCACGAAAGTTCATATATGAAACGCTACTAAAGTTAACATTCTTTCTATTCATAGTAAACTAAAAAAGCATATCGCTTATAGAATATTTTATTCAGTCATATTTCACTTTTGACAATGTATATCGAAAAAAAAATGTTACTATCAAAAACTAATACATAATGTTAATACTTAATACTTATCGCTTCTTATAATTGACTAATTGTAAGTTTAATACTTAAATAATTGTTCTATTAATCCATATAGTTAATTGTAATAAATTGAATGATTGCCAATAATTAATTATTCGGTATGGCATATGCATTTTCGCCTAGATAGCTTGTACGTCTTAGAAATAGTTTGCGTACAGAATACAAAGATGAAAGGAAAGAGTTAATGTGAGAATATTAAAATGTTTTCGTTACATTTTAAAATGTTGTAACTTTGTTCAATAAATCCATAGTCAACAAATTCTTTCGCTTGCCGACACTGGTTAGCAAGTTCGTTGTAGAGTTATCAGCGTCCTCTGCGGAAACAAACCCACTTTCTGGACGCCATAAAATCTCGCCTTCAACTCCATCAACTGCCGAAGCCGATTGGGAAAACCAGCGTTCCACTTTAGCCGCTGGCTTTAACTGAAAAATTTAGAAATTTCATTTCTATCATTTATAGATGCGCATTTAATATTTTTTCAGTTTTTTTTTTTTTTAGAATATTGACAATATTTTGAGTATGATGGTTCCAAGTGAACTGTACCGTGATGCCGAGCTCCTGCCACGATAGTCATTTATAATTGCCAACGCTTATTTTTGGCACTCTAACTCAAATTCTGGACATATATATTATATTTATATACACAGATTTCCCGCATGATAAATAAAATGATCATTTGTTTATTAACTATTCAGTTTTGTTTATTAAAATTGAGTTCCGCGGCAATCCACATGTATTATGGTATAACGCATATATGATATATGCGTTTCTCAGCTGTAACAACTGCCTTTCAAATGCATATATGAGTTCTTCGGCCTATATGATGAGTAATTAAAAATTACGCTTCTAATAAACTATAAATTACAATAAGAAACTATAATTCTCTATACTTTAACTCATGACAAATATTGAAGCAAAATCAAACACAACATCCAGATTTTCAGATGTCGTCCAGGTCCGTAGCGAAAGGGTTAACAAGAAAAATACGATATTAGTTACATTTTCGAGAGCTACTTATAGCACAAAAATTACCTTGAAATGATTTTTCCCGCTTTAATAAATGAGATTTTACTGTTGTAACGCATGGTTGAAATTATACATATTTATAATAAACTATTTTATTTTTCAGAGAATGAGACGGTATGAATATTGTATCTTCAAAAGTATATGATTTTTAATGATTAATTACTAATTTGTAATGTTACAAAACAATATAGCTTATAAAAAACATATCAAGCCTTCATGAGAAATAAACTGTAACTATTTAAAAACGCCATTTCTTGGGAAATAATAGATTAAGCATTAATGTTTTATTGAACATTTTTTGATTCTATAATTTTTAATATTTCTCATTGTCTTAGCGTTTTAATAGTATTTCGAATCATATGAAAAATGTTTTTTATTGAACCTTTTTATTCTGTTCCTCGTATGAACTGCTGAATGAAGACACATATCAAGGGTAAAAACGTATATAATTATCCTCATCTTTTTCTTGTTTCGAAGATTACAATTTCAACTGAAGTTAAAAAACTATTAATAAAAATTTAAATAATCGGATATGAGGTTTAAATATAATTATCGCAATCTAATTAAAAACGAAAAAGTGAAAATTTGATCAACAATTATTTCGCAAGTTTGAAAATTGAGTTAATATATAATTTTTATAAAACTTTTCATCTTGTAGTCTGTTGTAATTTCTAAATATTAAATTGAAAAACATCACATTATGATTTACATATGAATATATTAGTATGTATAAGGTGAATGTATGAACATATTGATGATATGTATTAAAATAATTTAATAGTTAAGTAACCATTACACCAACCACTATAAAATAGCGATTCACATACACACATACATACAAGATGAAGCAACTAACATTCATGTACAATATATATATATATATATATATATATATATATGTATATATATATATATTAGGGCGGGTCGATTTAAAAGTCGCTTAAGGGGGTATTCTACTGTAGAATTTTGAAAAAATCGAAATTTTTTTTTTCATATTTTCAAAGTTTAGTTATTCAGAAATATGTCATTAAAAGGATTTTTCAAAATCACTATTATTTCCTGAGTTATATCCGTTTTAGTGACGTGGCCTCGGTTCGGGTCCGACCGAGTCTCAAAACTTTGAACGCGTTTTTCTCGGTACTACTTTTTTCGAGCTGGCGGTAAGGATATCTCGAGTTCTAATGAACCGATTTACTTCAAATTTGGAGTGGATCTTCTCTATACATCGCTTTATCGCATGGACATTTCCCAAAACTATAACTTTTCATTTAATATTTTTTAAAAATTCGGAATTGTTAAAAAAAAACATGAGAAAAATTTCTTTTTTTTCAAACTGCCGCCATTCAAACAAAAAATTTTTTTTTAACTTATCCAAGGTTCATACGATAGCGGCGTCTATAATAATTAAGAATCCATCTATTTTTTATGTTTCGGATCACCAGGAGGGCCCCCACTTTGACTGCTCATAACTTTGTGAATTCTAATTTTTTTATTTAATATTTTTTTTATGTAATAATAAAATATCAATAAACAAATCATAAAAAAACGATAGTATAAATATTATTTGTCTCCTTTATACAGCGCTTCAAAAACCGGCCAAAATTCATGCTTTTACAGTAGAATACCCCCTTAAGCACATATGATTTTCGGATACTAGGGATACTTTGCTGAAGAAACGATACTTCTAAAATGAATGTCCCGTGCATTGACCCAAAGAAAGGTTGAATTTTGAAATATTCCGTTTTAACCCATTTAGAGTGCTCCAATCGCGCCGAAATGTATGACAAAGGAAAGTCCCAGGGGGTGAACCATGGGTATCGGTAGATCGCCCTACCAAAATTACTGGGGGTCGGTCATACATTTGGACACTATTGGGGCGCTCTAAATGAGCCAAAACAGGATTTTTCAAAATGTGACCCAATCTTTGGGTGAATGCACGGTACATCAGAATTCATTTGAGAGATATGGTTTCTTCGGGAAAGTATCTTATTTCGATCCCTAGTATACGAAAATCATATGTGTCTATGGGACTTATATATATATGCATTTATATAAATATACATCTTTGTATGTACATATAAGTATGTAATGCTTCACTAGATTGTGAAGCCAATTCTCCGATAAAATGGAAATGTTATAGTAACGCTATGTTACGGTCCTATCTTCGTATGAATTGGTAGTAAAGACTATCAAAAGCTATGTATTTGCTGTGCGATCATTCACAATATATATATATATATATATATATATATATATATATATACATTGTACAATTCACACCATAATAGGACCATAACATAGCATTGCCTTAACATTTCTATTTTATTGGAGAATTGGCTCCTGTAATTCAAATCCATTAATAGTATTATAGCACACATTAAGTGTACTTTGCATAAAAATATGTCAAACTATAATTGAATCTACATAAAAGAATCCATATTACATGACTGCTTATTTGTTTTAATATTTAATTTCACAAAAAATCCACTTTGAAAAATACCTTCATAGTCATATAAAAACATCATCACTAAATATTCTGACGTCCACCATTTGCACATGATTGTTTTTTGACGTCTTAATATTTGCAACGCAAAACATATTATAGAACTAATTTATTATAAATAAAACTGACTAGATAATAGTCAAATATTGCACTGATAACATTGATTATTATTATTCTTACATTGTCCACTTAAATAATGTTAAGTAATGACTCTTGTTCAACGGTTTTGTCGTATAAATCAATCAATTTTATTAATTATAATCTTAGTCCAAAATTTACACACTGATATGTCTTGAAATCGATGATTTTTATGATTTGATTATATATCTCATGCTAATCATATATCTGATCATTTTATAAAGTTTACAAAAATAATCCACTGTCTCAGGAGTATCTGTCAATAAGCAATAACATTTCTTGATCTATATCAGATAAAGCAACATATCAATCAGAATAATAAATTAAATTAAAGGGACTTGTAATGTTATAGATAGCAGATTGTTGACTGATTTGTTATTTAACTGACAACTTTATTTCTTTAAAACAAATCAAAACCATGTTTTTCCTTCAATAGATTAAAAATTATGCATAACATGAAGGAGGCAAAAAAAAATAGCGTAAACAATAAAAATAATACGCAAGTAACAAAATATAATCTACATGATCTGCATAAAAATATATTTTCTTGTAACGACAAGTTTTATCCATTTACACCACAGGCTTGGCTTACTAAACCCACCCCTTCAACTGATTAATGTAAAAATTTCAGAATATTTTGACCACTAGTGAGAGTTGCTAAAAATTCTCAGTCGTCCTGCTCCGGTTTCATTGCTAGCTCGCGATCATTAAAATTGTAAGTATTTAAAAATACATGAAAGTAGTTTTATCAAAGTATGTACAACCGCTGCATTGATGATGGTCATGTTCTTATTTTCAGTATAAATTTCATTAATTGAAGTGGTATTAAAGGCTTTGCCGTTTTTTAAGGTTATCTACTTTATCCAGATAACCTTATATTGTTACAGTTTGAGTTTTCAAACAAGTCATTTGGTCGAGTGCCTTGACCATGTACGCCTATCCAGCGTCGGTAATGGATTAACTTGCAGGGTATCATTGTGAGGCAGGCAAATCCCGCCTTCATCGGTGACTTGTAACGTAACTAACGAAGGGACTGCAGTGTTCTGATTATTATTTCCTACTGGTACAATAACGCGCACACGACCATCACTGTCTAATGCCGTTAGTGCGCCCGCTTGGCTTAATGGTCGTATGAATGGTCCAGCGTTGTCTTCATGGGTTTGATGTTGATGTTGTTGTTGTGGTTGTGGTTGCTGCTGCTGCTGCTGCTGCTGGTACCGGTGATGCGGCTGCTGCGGTTGAGAATACTGCAGTTGTTGCTGCTGCTGAAGCTGTTGTTGCTGCTGATGATGCTGCTGCTGCTGCTGATGATGATGTTGCAATAAGGCGTTCAAATTGTTGGTGAGTGGGAATGAGAAAGCGGTTGCATTATTGTTGTTAGATCGGAACTGGTTCAAAACCGGAGTGGCGCTAGACCCGCTACCGTTGTCGCCGTAAGATGAATGCGGCGGTAGTGAACTTGTTGGAGTTACAGCTGCGGACTGAAAAGCACATTTTACTGATGGATTTTCATTCTACATATTTATTATCAATACAACAAAGAACTTGCATGAAAAAAGTCGATATAACATAGGAATAAATTATACTGTTATTGCACAGAAAACAAGTAAATGACAATTAGAAATTATTTTAAAGCAACGCACTTCAAAATTATAAAGATCTTTTGTAAATTAATATGAACGATATATATTTTTGCAAATCATGAGTAGAAAATTGGATAAAATGCATGCATTATTGATCAATGAAGTACACAAATCAATTGAGTGTTGCTGATGACTTTTTAAAATCCTTATGATTATTCAAGAAATATCTAATGTTATAGTACGCAATTAAATTGATAAACCACTTAAAACTCACATCTTTTAAAAATTTACTGGCAAAAAAATCATCATACTTTTTTTATCATTGGAATGTGTTTAGAATGTTATTACTATAAGATAAAAAATTATTATTATTATTATTTTTAGTACGGTTTAGTTTACAATAACAAATAAAGGAATCGAATCACAAACCCAAAAAATGCGTCATGTCTGATTATATTCGTGGTGATCCGATCGTCTAACGAGTTACAATAAGTTTAAAAATTCCTATGAACGAACTGAGTTCGTTCGTGTGCAAATTTGCCAGTTTTGCGCGAACGAACTGAGCTCGTAAGCATTAAGTGGTTAATACAATTTAGTACAAAATTTCAGTGTGTAGTATAAATAAAGTATTTATACTTTAATATATTAAACTACTATTATATTTTGAGAGAGTATCAAATATAGCGTTTATATACTATATCAACAACTATAAATTTCATATGATATTGTTTAATTATTTACTAATGGGCCTATAATTAAAATTCAAGTAACGTAAAATATTTACCACCGTGCACGTGCCAGCGCGCGTTGTTTCAAAATATTTATATGTACTTCCTTCTTATTACAAAATATTTTTGCAGCTCACAAAGAATCTAAATTTAATATTCATGCAAATTCTGGTCAAACTAATAATATTCACATTCACTATTAAATGTCTATTATTATAATATATGACATATTAATATATGAAATTTATTACAAAATAAATAAAATCAATTATGTACTCACCAGTCACTGCCAGTAATCCGTTAATAAATGCACAACTAACACCAAAATAAACAAACAAAAATAATTATAAGTATCTCAAACACTAACTTCATTTCATTCTAAAACGTACTGGTTCCTTGGTGAACATGGGCAATGCACTTTTAGCACTTATATATACAGTGCATTTGAATCGGTTAATACAAAGCCCAAATAAAACAAAAACATTTGTGCACATGCAATTTCTAATAAATCACCAAATATAATTTTCGTTTGTAGAAAAATTACAATAATGACTATATAGACTACTAATGAAATAAGATGCAGCAAATGTGTTTTAATATTCACACAGTGTATATATATATATATATATATATATATATATATACACCTAAGTCTGTTTTTATACGGTAGATTGGTTCCAGAAGAAGCCGTGTAAAAAAAGACATTGATCTTAAACAAAAATGGGTGATTTGTTCCTAATCTCTAAAAGCTATTAAAATTAGTGAAAAACAAGAATTTTTAAGAACACGAATTCATGTTTATTTTATTAAATCAAATATATAATGCTTATTTTCACAAGCATAGTAATTAATGATAAAAAAGATATGCACTCTAATCTTAAAAGTAATATAAATTAAATGTATGGCAAGTTCAGGAACTAAAAAACTATGTTGTGAACGAAAAGAATAGGAACATACTTCGCAAAAATTAAATTTGACAAAAAAAAATTTAAGTACATAAAATTTCAAATCGTGCTAAATGGAATAAAATCGTGTAAAAAAATTAAAAATATTCAATTTTCAAATCGTGTTATATCAAAACCGTGTAAAAACAGACTTAGGTATATATATATATATATATATATATATATATATATATATCCGTATTATTATTTCTGCAAAATATATTGAAATGTAATGCTTCACATTATTTATGAAATCACAATCACTTAAAATCATGTTTTAGACAGCTTTTCGGATTTTGTATGTAATTTCAATCTATTTTTTTCTTGTAAAGTAATCTACGATCTCCAAGTTAAATATTAGTTCTATGGCTCTATAAATACAATTCATTTGTTAGCTGCAGAGTTTAAAGTAAAATTAGTTTAGTTATGTTTACAATATTATTTTTTCATTACTAAAGATGATTGAAGTTTTATTTATATTTCGTTATGCAACATGCAAGGTTTTAACTCAGAGACTAAAACCAAAACGAGCCTTAACTAAATAAAAGTGACCTAAGTTTCAAATTTTGTAGATAGAATTTTGAAAACTAATGAGCCTATCATTTAACACAAATTATTTGATAATTTTGGTTTAGTCATTCAACTATAATATTTTAATTATGGTTTAACGCTGTTAATGAATATGCAAACAAAAGTAAATACAAACAGCTCCATAATTAACAATAGCAATATATGATACTAACCTGAGGCATGATTAATGCAGGAGATCTGGGAGGTGTTGAAGTGCAGGGCACATGTTGATCAGTGCGCTCAACATCATGCAAGTGAGACACAAGAGCAGCAATATGATCTAGAAGTTCTCGGTTATGAACAAGCAACTGCTGCGTTCGGGCCTGCAAAGGTTAAAGCACACATCAATGATCCTTAGGAATAAAGAATTTTAAAATATAATTAAGATTCATATTCTAATATTTTACACCAAACAAAATATTTGTTCAAAGACTCTTATTTAGATAATAATCAAAGGTATTTAATTCACTGGCATACCATTAAATAAAAAATAATAAAAAAACAGATAATTGTAGGAATGAATTTAAGAGTACTTCTTTGTTAAGTACCACAAATCTGTAACACACCAGTATAAATTAAATAGAAATCTTAGCTTAAAGGGCCAATTCTGGGGATAAAATAGTTATGTTATTTTACGGGTCATTGTAGAATATTCGAATGAGTCTTAATCACGAAAAACCTAACCTCCAAATGTCACAAATGTCAAATAACAATGATATGGTAAGTGTAACGCTGTGTTGAGATTAGGTAGAATAGAAGTCAAGATTGTGTAAAACGCTCGATAGAACCACAAATACGGCTTTGTGACAGTTCGTGACTACCAACATCTAAAGGTGCGTCTCACTAAAGGCGCGCTCACCTAACGAACGAACACGAACAAGCAAGAACGTACAAACCAGAACGAACGCCAACGAGCATAGTGAGGACGTTACATCGAGCACGAACTTTCCCGCCAATTTAAATATTAAAACTGACATTTCACGGAACATCCTTGAACAAAAAATATTTAAGCCCTCACTGCTTTGAGGCGTTTGCTCAAGTTCATTTAGAATGATTCGCCTTCGTTCGTACTCGTGTTCGTTCTTCTTTGTATTTTCTTGTTCGTCATGTTCGTACGGGCTCGTTTGTTAGGTGGGGCGCACCTTAATATTATCAGATAATATTGAGAGATTTCAGCAAACCTCACAAATATTTATTTACAAAGCGTAAAATTATCAAAATCAATTTAATGCACATGATACTAACCTGTGCTTCTAATCTAGCTGCACTCTCGGCTGCTAGCTGATCTCGTAACATCAGCAATTGCGACATTGCATGTTGAGTTTGCTGAGTTTGCTGCTCAAGTTTTTCACGAAGCAGTTGCAATTCATGCTGGGTAGCCATATTTGTCGATTTCTCAAGCCCGGGTGTTGCAAGAGTACTCGGCTCACAAGTCTAAACATATAAAAGAAGAAATAATTGCGGAAAATGCTTTCTAAAATAAAAATATTAACACACTAATTATTAGAGCAATTGTTTTTTGGAATACAATTTATATCATTAAACTTATATGGACATATTTTAGGAGAAAATAGCTATGTCATGTTACTAGCCTCTCATGAAACTGTTAAAAAGCTATGCTCGTTGCTCTTCAATCGAGCGTTTTTAAAATCTCGATGCTCAAACCTAAACTCCAAATGGCACAAATGTTTAATAGTTTGACATCGCACATTGCAACATTTCCTTGCCTTGTAGAGTAAAATATGTGTGGATTCGAACTAATGTTATATTTTGATATTTGTGCTATTTGTAGGATAGGTTTTAGAAGTTGATATTGATAGAAAACTGATCAAAATCGACGATTTGCAGCCCTTTTTTTAATCAGTCAGCGCATGACGCAGTATTCATTAGTTATGATCAGTTTGCGACAGTTTAGGCTCGAATAAAACAAACCCATTGTATGAAATGCTTGTTTAACACGTTCACGCCGGGACCGATTTTGGTATGTTTTGCTGTGAAGCAGCGTCAGGTTATTGTCTTCGAAATGCATACCGCCGGTAGCCGCAAGGTAAAACAGTCTCGTGCGGGGCACCGGTGGCCCACGCCGGCGTGAACATGTTAAACAAAGAATAAATTTTTTGACAGTATTGTTATTACCAACTCATACGATTACTCAACATAAGTAATTGGTAAAATAATATAGCTATTTTATCCGAGAATTGGCGCCATCTAACTTTACAGGTTAGCAGATTTTAATTCTAATTATCTTTTAATTTAAGATAAATTTTACCGATGGAGATCTCCGTAGCGAAGTCTGTAATGATGGCAATTCTAGCCGCTTTGGTCGGTTATCCCTGGCTTGTCCAGTTTTCGGTGTCTCATCGGTTGAAACTAACAAATCTGCAATAGGAAAAAAAATTCAGATTGAGTACTTAATTCGTACGAATTTTAATTTCCAGAAAATATGTACGATTTGGATTGTAAATATACAGTTAGTATTTCATAACAAATCAATTCGTTACTTTTTTAGCCTGTAGAGAAATGTATAGCATAAAATATGTAAATTAAAAAAATACTTCAAGCAAAACGTGCAATTGTCTCCAAACTTTTGTGGTATACTTATATCTAATGATAAATAAAAACAGCTCCCCTAGTTATTCCATGCAGTCCTAGCTACTGTTTATTTTTTTAAAAAAAACTTTTAGTTAAATTGTTATAACGGATATCCCTCTAACGCCCCCTTAACGGATAGCCCTCTAAGACTATTTCAGAAATAGTTCAGCAATTAATAGCAAAAAATCGTTCAATCGATCTTTACCAAAAACTGAATAACACAGTTCCAAATTCATGTCATTCGCACAGATTATAGTGTTTTGTTAAAAACGGTTCAGTTTTTCTTTTTGCGAAAACGAGGACAATTTTTTTGCAATGATCAGTTAAGTGTAAAGCAACTCGGACGAACGTCGCCAAAAACTAATCAATGCAGGTCCTGCCGAGCTTCATTGAAGTTCCAATAAATTTTTTGAAATTGGTTTTGAAAAAACGTAGACAGAACGCCAAATTTTTACTCATATACGCACACAAACATATTTCTACCAATCGACATCGGGAAAACAGAAAATTGGCAGGTTAGCATTTCTGGCGAAAACAAACTCCTCCTTCGCGAAGTTAAAAATCAGTGTTGGGGTTTAAACCTAAAATGTTCTAATAGGCCTTGACCGTACCTTCCCGGTCTTTCTCATTATCCTGGGCAGGTTCTGGCGTGGGTTCTTGTTGTGTTCTCTCCTCACCGCTAAACGACTGTTCGGCTTCCGATAACTCAGGCTCGAGACTGCCAACATCCATTTTATTTACCAGTTTATGGCACACTTCAAAAGCTTGCCCGACTGTTCGAACCACGCGCATAGCCTGACTCTGAAATATAATAATGAATTACTAAAAATATCAGAGATATAGCTATGATCAATTTTTTTTGAAAGCCTTGCAGATATAAAAAAGTATTTGATACAAATAAAATATAGATTAAAATTGAATTCATATTTTTTTCATACAAACCACGGTATGCCTTATATTACATTATGGGTTACCAATTTTCTTCTGCAATGGTCTTTTGTGTTATTTTCGTAAAGATCGCTCTTATGCTTATTTCCTATTACAACGACATTTTGTAAGTTTTGATATTAATTTCTTATTTGTATCTGCTTGAGAATCAAATATCATTTTAGAGATTATTTCAGTTTCCTCATTCGGCGGTTCAAAGAAAAGTGATTAATGTTTAACTGGTGTTTGGGATATTATAATCATTTAATATTAGAATTTAATATGATACTGTTGAGAACATGTCCATATTTTTATCTTGCAAATAGAGAAACAAGAAATACAAGATAGTTCGTCGATAAATAAATGGCAGAACTTCGCAAAGTTCGACGGGGAGAATTTTCTATTATACTATATACCACTTTCATAAAAATTATATATATATATATATATATATATATATATATATTCAAATGGATCGTGTGGGAGGCTAATCATTTGAACCAGAAAGAAGAGGGGCGTAAAGTTTTAATTTAGAATTAGTTAATATAGCACTATGTATTTGTATCATGCATGGAGATTTCAAGAACAGCGAAATTACTAGTAAGTACTTCTATTATTTCCTAAATTCTTCAATCGACATAAAATGTTATACCTCTAATTCTATTCTTTGCTCGATATCTAGTCCATCTAAACTACTGCTTCGCACAATACAGGGTGTCTTTCTTCGAGGTAAAGTTTCATTACAGGGAAAATTTTCACCAATAATTTCCGGATCACGAAAAGAAAGTTTTTTCCGCGGCCTTTCAATTGCGGTTACATCTTCAGATTCAAGAACTTTAACGCCAGAAAATGGTCCACTAAAAGTATGACGTTCGGTAGACTCCGCGTCAGCTGAATAATGCCTAGATAAACATTTTTGTTTAGATAATGATTTTTGAAGAAACGTATTGCTATTGCTTTCTTGAGATCTTCGATTTTTGAAGGTAGTATTTTCGAAATCCATCTTTCTTTGGAAATTCATAGATTCGTCATCATGTCCATTGGACTTGTGTTTGATTCTGGTTGAAGAAGATCCGCGAGGCCTCCATACATCGCTTATATTTGAGAACGTTGACCTGGCTCTATGTAATACTTCTCCTGACATTTGCCGCAGTTGCATTTTGTCAGATACCTTGTTTTGACGATTTAAGTAGTTATAATTCTTTGAAGCTGATGCATTTTTATGATCAGAATTGTTGGAATTGCATCTATTATCGATAGAATCCTTCTCCTGCAAACGGACCTTCTCCGACGGATCCTTCTGCTTCATCATCCTGAAAAACAGGTTTCCAGGTACGGTCTAACACCTTAAAGGTGTTAAACCAATCTCGCGCGCTGACAAACGTTCTCTTTGTTTTTAACATCTAATCTCCTGTTGGAAACTTTTCATTTCAATTTTTTAACCGTTTTATTAGCCATCCTTATAAAAATTATGCTTCATACATTTTTCAATTTCATGCAATAGTGTTTCACCGCACTCATAAACAATATCCTCTATTTTTCCTCACACTCGTATGTATAACACTTGCCAAAAACATTAGTTATTTATTTATTTATGAATAGTCATTATTTTCACTTCACCTATACTGTTGTAAAAATGCGATTTACCTTTTAGAGATAACCAAAAATATATACACTTGCAATAAGTATGATACACATGGCATAGTGGAGTAAACTCAATGTACATTTTATATGAAAATAAACGGCAAGGAAAAGGCAGGCTTGTATGATGCAATCAAATATAGCAAACCAGTGACATCAAACAATGACGTCAATGATACGCTAAATTTAGAAGCGTCGAGGAAGGAGAGACAAAATGCCACTGCCAACTGTCGCGTCTTGCAAATAATAACTCACGAGTGCGAACAAAAGCAGGGCCACTACGACTAAGCTGACTCCTTCGCAACTAGATCAAGGCCAATATTGTTAACTATTTAGTATACTACCAAATGTTTTCGGCATGTAATAGGAAAACAACATATTGTATTCAGTCATGATTAAGGAATCCCAAGCGGTACTTTTACACATTGCATTTTTAGGGAAATCAATAGCGAATGCTATAGACTCGCGGTTTAGCATCGGAGGAACGTGAAAGATTATTTGATGATATGAGAGCGAAGCATTGGCACTTTAAAATTTAATTTATTCCAATTAATATCAATGCTGACCATATTTGATATGATAATACTAAACGATACACGTAGACGAATAATGATATTGAGTTGTTTTTGTTTTAGCATTGTAATAAGTTCTATATTTGATAGGAACGTTTTAAGTGAAAAATATTGTGCATAACATAGTCGCCAATAAGTTTTTAAGATGTCTCCTTTTTATATTTAATCGCTTTTCTTTCTTTGGATATTTAACTGTATTAGTTGTCGCGCTTATTGTAGAACTTAAATTTTACTCAAATAAAATTCGTATTATACCATTTATACATACACGTACTCCAAAAACCACAAGAGAAATGAGATCGTAATTAAAATTATCGTAAAAATTTTAAGCACAAACGCACATTCAATACATGTATCTGTATAATCTATACAATCTATATTTGTGTATGTAATTTGGATAATGCTGAAACATAACAACTCAATTATTGCATTAATACTGCCAACTCAACCTGTCTTTGCGCCTGTTCAATTGTCAACATAGTAGCATAGGATCCAACATATACTACATCAGTAAATAAGCATAAAAATATGCCAAAATAAACGACCTGCTATTTCTGAAAGAGGTATTATCTTAAATAATTAAATTACTGATAGCTATACCTATTCTTCAATGTCGACTCAAATATGTTTTGTATCTTTATTTTATTCTCTATTGATTGTGATACACATCACGTTTTAAGGGCTGTACTTAGTGGCGTACCTAGGGGGGGGCGGTGGGGGCGGTCCGCCCCGGGCGGCACTTATTTTGGGGCGGCATTTTTTAGTTTATTTATACATAGTTGTAAAAAGCAACTTATTCATTTTATATTTCCTAACTTCCGTAGGGTAAGTTATAGTAATGGACCGACAATCGAAAATTAAATTTTTTACATTTCTTCACGTTTTGAAGGTTTCTGAACATTTTGGCATACCTCAGAAAAAATGGAAGTGTGTTTGTTTTGTGTGTCCGCATTTTTTCGTTCACGTTTTCGGGCGCCCCGTTCAACCGATTTGATGGTACAGAAAATAGAAATCGAGTTTTTGAGAGAATGAAACATCCGATTTGATTGATGCAAAAAACTTCAATTTGTAATGATGAGGAGAAGTGGTGATCAGTTTTTCGCAAAGGCAGCAAAATGTCGAAAAAATATCTGTTTTTGAGAGAACTAAGCATCCGATTTGAATGATTCAAAAAACTTTCTACGTGGATTTTATTTTGAATTCTACCTAAAATTCAAATGCTCACTTATATACTTGAAATAAATAATTTTAACTTTGTAATTCAGTTTATATATTTCTTATAAATATTAGACAATGCCCTTTATTTCAAATTTGATTGATTGAGTTTTGTTTATTTACTTTTCTGTAAACATATATAAGTTACAGTATTTATAATTATATATTTGAAAGCATTTAATTTTCCTCGAATATATCATTACAGTACGGAAAGTTCCAGCAATTTGCCTTAACTTACAATGCCATACACCACTAGTTAACTTCCCCAAGTTTTCGGGCGCCCCGTTCAACCGATTTGATGGTACAGAAAATAGAAATCGAGTTTTTGAGAGAATGAAACATCCGATTTGATTGATGCAAAAAACTTCAATTTGTAATGATGAGGAGAAGTGGTGATCAGTTTTTCGCAAAGGCAGCAAAATGTCCAAAAAATATCTGTTTTTGAGAGAACTAAGCATCCGATTTGAATGATTCAAAAAACTTTCTACGTGGATTTTATTTTGAATTCTACCTAAAATTCAAATGCTCACTTATATACTTGAAATAAATAATTTTAACTTTGTAATTCAGTTTATATATTTCTTATAAATATTAGACAATGCCCTTTAATTCAAATTTGATTGATTGAGTTTTGTTTATTTACTTTTCTGTAAACATATATAAGTTACAGTATTTATAATTATATATTTGAAAGCATTTAATTTTCCTCGAATATATCATTACAGTACGGAAAGTTCCAGCAATTTGCCTTAACTTACAATGCCATACACCACTAGTTAACTTCCCCAAGGAGAAGTTTATGTTTTCATCAAAAAATCCGAATCGCTAATTTTATGTTTTTTCGGCGTTTCAAGCCATTCTGAATCGAATGAGCCCAAATTGAGAAAAAGTATGTGAGTGTATGTGAACAGATTTTTTGTCGTAAATTGTCGTTTTTTCGAAAACGGCTAGACCGATTTCAAAAATTTAAAAGCCACTCGATGTATCTCGATGAGGACTATTATTTGTTTAGCCTGCAATTCTGAATTCATTTTGAAAATTCAAAAACCGTTCAAAAGATATTAGTTGGGAATCGTGCTGATTAGTTTTTGGTAGAGATCGGCCGGGCCGTTTTCTTAATAAAGTTTAAAAAAAAAAATCGACGATTTTTATGATTATTTTTTTGACGGTAGATACCATAGTCTTCTAGATCATACTAAAATATTACGGTCCTACGACAACTGGTTTAGCTTTAAAATTTCGTCAAAGTTTGCAAAAATTAGTATGGTCTTTTTGGCATTTGTCAAAATTAGACCTTTGATCGACGTTTTCTCAAAAACGTCTGAACCGATTTCAGAAATTTAAAAACCATTTGATGTATCTCGATGAGGCATATCGTTTCTCAGTTTTGTGCGACGATCGTCCGAGCCGTTTCTTTGTAATTTGGAAAGAAGTGTTAAACCTTTC